AGCACAAGAAATGAAATAATGCAGAGTGTTAGCAAAAATTGTAATCAATAGACGAAAAACAAAAACTAATAGCAGCCATATATAAATCATATATAAAAATTATTCAGTACGTAGGGACCTGACCATTCACCTGTCCATACATTTAAAAATGAAATGACTAAAGAGACGTTGTGATTTGCAAAAAAACAATTTTTGATGTCTGCTAGACTTTATTCCATTGAAATTTTCTATGTTGCCTCATTAATTAATAGCTGGCTTTCACTCGTGTGCTTTGTCAGAAACTTTAACAATTGTAAACATTTAGTTATACGGAAATTTTTAACGGTCGAATTTGAAAATGCGTTATACTGATAGACATTATGGATAAATAAATTAGCAAGTGTGCATCTTATAACAACGACGCTTGTTTCTTGGTGTGTCTGCCCGACTTCGTTGTTCATTCATTGTCCAGTTAGAAGGCCTACAGACATAGCTACTCTATAAAAAACACGTTATAAATGTCAGCATAATGAAGGAACAAAAACTGAAATTAATTACATTGAAAAGAATAAAACTTTAATACCTGATTTCCAAGGGTTGTCCTGGTCAGTTTGATCCAGGAGACTTGGTCGGTCTCTTCCTTTTTTTTCACTGCGTAGTTTTTACGTTGTATCGTTGAAATTAATTGTAAAATTTTTATCTTAGTAATTCAATGAGCCCTACTTGCATTATTGCAATTTTCTTAATAAACGTTAAATAAAATTACTAAAAACTAGCGAGTGAAAGCCAGCTATTTTTTCACAGCAAGTGACATCTTTTAATGACACTTTTTTAAGCTGGGTGTTTTTCATGATTAAGTTTCAAATTATAAAGATAGACCATCAGGATTCTTTTTCACTATCTCATGCAGTTACTCATACAAGTTAATTTTAACACTTATATCTACTCAACTTACAAACCACAAGATATAGATCGTGTTTTTCCACTCGCTTGTTTTCCATCTTCGTAGAATGTAGTCCATTTTTATAGTGCAATCACTTCAATGTAAATGTTCATACGTACATATGCCGTTATGTGATGTCCATTTAACATGTCGATACCATTCCATACACGAAGTAAGGAGCATCATAAACCAATAAAGAAGCCACTGATATCATGGATCGCCATTTCCATGGACTACAATTCACAATGCACTGTTATGGTAACTTCAAGCGAAGGAAAAGGGACCAACCTTCAATACCCTAGTTATATCATTACTCGAATCATGCTTATTGCAGAGTTGATCTTCTGTGAGTATCAGTTGACCACCTTAAGTGGGTTCATATAACAATGGGGCCCATCATCATTATATGAACAAACAACTGACATCAACAAAGAATCCAAACTACAAATGAACATTCTTGGCCATGAATCACCATGACACATGAGTAATGACAAACTAGTAAGAGTAATTGAAGTGAACGACACAGGTGGTAAAGGGACTTTCACAACTCCATCCATGTGGGATCTAAAATATAAGAAAATGCGAAACACATGTATGAGATTTCATGATGAATAACTCTGCATATTACGTTAGTTTGCGTTTCAAATTCTTAATCAGATATATTGAGAATGAGCGAATTGTTTTCTGTTTTCTGTTTGACTATTCAAATGGTAGAACATTTACCTTCATTGCACAAATAGCTTTAGTGAGTTGAGTTTGAACGATATGACAATTTTCACACGATCAATGGCTTATAATCATGATGAAAGCATTTTACAGTGAAAGCTTTCAAATTACGAGGCCAACACTAAGACCAGTTCATTATTCCATGTATCTCATACTTCAGTATTCGTCAGTAAAAAGACAAAATTTACCTTTCTTCCTACAACGTTAAAGTAAACAATTTTCTGTTGAAGTAAAACACACGAATTTAAACATGTTAACGTTTCTTTAATTGACGTCATGACTAAAACTATTATTGCGATTGGCACCTTAAGGACATATCAACTTTCACAAAGACAACAAGTAATCCTTCAATGCGTTTTTAATGCCTATTTCAAACATTGCATTTTACATGTGCCGAATGTATTTCAGACAAAAGATAATAAGGAATTTTATCTCATTATCTTTTATATTAAATGCATTGGGCACATGTAAAATGCGATGTTTTAAACAGGCCTTAAAAACGCATTGAAGGATTAGCTACATGCTGTCTTTGTGAAAGGTGACATATCCTAAGGAGCCAATCACAATAATAATTTTAGTTAAGACGTCAATTAAAGAATTGTTAACATGTTTAAAAGCGTGTGTTTTACTTCAACAGAAAATTCAGAGTCAAATGACTACCGCTAAGGTTGTCGAAACGTCAGTCAACAACAACAAAAACAGTCCTTCTCAGGACTATACAAACCTGGATGATCTACATTTACAAACATGTAACGATACTCAGGGTTCAAACCATTTACTTTAAAATAATTGTATTGTTTACATGAAACTATTTGGTATGAAAAGCCAATCACTATCGTTGCATTTGCTGCTGGATTTCTTCTGCTGGTGATGATGACTGATGGTGTTAGAATTTTTTGTTTCTTCAGAAAAAACGATGATAATGAAGATATGAATGATGGATATTCTACACAATATTGGGATAATCATGGATAAACAAACCTTTCCAATATGCCTAATGTGTATGAGAATCCATCATATTCATCAGTAGATGAGTATAATTTTAATCAATTTTCACTGCGACATTCTCGAGCACAAATTGTCATCTTACCTGATGAGAATAATCATGGATCACAAAATGGATTTCAATCATTTTATACTACACCGTTGCATGAGTAAAAGCACAAATTTAGATTTGTGTTTTCATAAATATTTATGTAGAGATAATGATTTTATAAAGTAATACACTATAATAAAAATAATTCTGATATAAATCTTTAGTAAAAATATTGCATGGACTAGATTAAACAGCGCTGACATTGGCACAATCATAGAATACACTGTTATAAAGACTGGCAACAACAATCAGGCCAGGTTATGATTAAGAAAAAGGTTAGGGTCAGATTAGTACGTGGAAAAGTATTCTATAAAACTTTCTGTTACTGTTAGAAGAGCTAGATTATGTATTGCAACAAAAAAGTTTTAGTGAACAATCAATCTACTAGAATCAAGGTATGTTTATACAATCCTTGTCTTTCCTTGTCAAACTTTTTATTTGTTAAATTTTAAAGGAGAAAATCTTCTGAATCCACTATACTTTGTTTGTTCTACTTCAACACAACTTTCACCTTGTTGGTAACTTTCTTCATTTTCTTGTCTCATTCCATTCACGATTTCGCTATTTTTCTACAGCCGCGACATCGAAACTTCTTTCTACCGAATTCTCACCACAGCATATAATGAATGCCTTATAAAAACACTTGCACTAATAACACCAAATGTAATCTTTAAACGCTATTTATAAGATCTTTTCAAGCGCTTGACAAGATTTTACTCTTGCAAGATCTTGCAAGATTTTAAGCAAGATCTTGCCAAGATCTTACAACATTATTTTAAGTTTTTGCCATGATTTTACTCATGGATGATCTTGCAAGATTTTTGAAATTCACCGAATATAAATGACGCACTTTTGACCCTCTTATAAGAGTAAGTGTTAAGTACGTGCTCACAAAGCCTACGTCATTATTTTATCATCATTACTTGTTTTGATTGCTTTCATCTCACAATCAAACATTTTTTTAAGATAATTATAAATTTCAGCTTCAACAATTTGTTAAAAAGTCTTGTGAAGAATATAAAACTTATCGTCAGACCTATACTGTCATGCATGTTAACTTCCACATGAACAGAACTAAAATATATAACTGTGTTGGTAAGAATATGTAACTTATCGTCAGACCTATACTGTCATGGATGTTAACTTCCACATGAACATAACTAAAATATACAACTGTGTTGGTAAGAATATGAAACTTATCGTCAGACCTATACTGTCATGCATGTTAACTTCCACATGAACAAAACTAAAATATACAACTGTGTTGGTATTTTTTGGCCGACATTGACAGCTCATGTAGTTTTGTTGTTACTCTTGTCTTAATATCATTTTACCGACGATTTTGTCTTGAATACAATCCATCTTTCCAACCGTAAACACACGAGTCAAAAAAAAAGAGGTCAAACTACAAAATTTGGACAATCAATTCGGACAGCAGTACTGTTTATGTAGAATAGTGATAATAAAATGGTTAGGAGATGCTGTTGGCGCATTTGTAAATCTTATTTCAAAAATACAGAACGACTAAGTATAAAGGAAGAAGGTGTAAGAGTGAATAAAAACCATTTTCCATTAAATCAAAGGAAAGCTTGGATATGACATGCTATATGCAAATAGAAAGTTATAGAGAAAAATGAAAATCTTCCTAACGTTGTCGCGGATATTATAAGTGCCATAACAAAGTGTTGATGAGTTTGATATGCATTTGTCAAAACAAGCTTAAGAAGACAAAAAGTATGCAAAAAATATATGATTAAAAATTTGCTCAGCGCATCTACAAGCACCAAATTCAGAACTTGTAGATGCGCTTAGGAAATATGGAAAATCATACTCCAGAAACACTAGTAATCGTTATTGACGGACTCCTGATTTAGAAATTTTCTAATTGTGAGCATGACTTTATAGACGTCGCTAGAAAGGCTCACGCGTTGGGCGTTAGAAAACATGCTCCCCAGAAGTTCATATCTTTCTTCATGTCTAACTACGACACTGCATGTAAAGGATTTCCGCCTTCGTCGAGCAAAAACATGTCCGCATCCTGATGTTTTCGGTCCCGTACACCCATGTCAATACTGAAAATTAATAATAGTTAAATGTGTACAACATTTATGAGTTGATTTGAGTTGAACTGAAATTGAATTTGCATTAAAATTTATAAATCAATCCTTGTCGTGTATATTTCAATTATAGCTAAAATTTAAAATTTGTTCATCTCATTTTATCGTCTCGCTGTTATGAACAGAATTCAATATTTTATAATAAAAACAGCAGGTGATTAAAATCAAGCATTTATTGAACATTCTAATTTCTTTATTATCAAGCAAAAGCAAACACATCATGTAGATGGTTGGGTTTTCTCTAATCTTTCTAAATTTGTTAAGGTATGTTGATTATAAAGTTCACCTATCAGAGTGTAATTGTTTGTTCTTATGTCTAGAATTTTGTTATATTTGTCATAAAAAACCTGAATGTCATTTTCGGGGTGACATTCACACTTCATATGTTTTATATTGATACGTCTGTTGATTTTGGTGGGATTTTCCCAATAACACATTGGATAATCTATCATTTCAAAATACTAACCTTTCTTGCATTATCACCAACAATTAATTTCGCTTGTCTTTTCAAATATCATTGGTACGGCAGGGCTAAAAAATCAACAAAATGAATCAAAATCATGACACGTCTCAGAATTTCAGTTATGCATATCATAAATGCGGAATGAGTTTAACTTTATCTAACATGGCTTTTATCATGAAGAATATTTTTCCTCTTTTATACAGTCATCTATCTCTTTATCTTATTCGTACCACAGATGATGACATAAAAACGTTTTGCTAGGTATGTCCTTAGAATTTGCGCCTAATTGGAGTGAAAAGATCACTTCTTCACGTGATAGTACACGTGATTTTTTTCTGGTCTATATTTGTTCAACTTGTTGTAAGATAAACTATTTAAAATATTTGTTTGCGTCAAAAGTTCACAAAATGACAAAACTTTAAATGATGAAGTGTCAAGTCCAAACGCTATCAGTTTTGTAGTATCTCTGATTACTGAGATGTGACAAAATTACTCTAATTAGAGACTTTGAGATTAATTACTCTGATATTCCCTTCTTAAATAAAGATTGCCCCTAAAATCTTGAACCCTCCAACTTTTACTTTCTTCTCACACCCAGGATCAAATTATTTGTTTATCCCTATCAAAAGTTTACAAAATGTCAAAACTTCATTGACCACGTTTCAAAGTTAACGCTAACAATGTCAGAGAAGCTCTGTTTATTAATTTTCTTAACTTCCTAAAATATAAATCTTTAGTTTTTGAGCTATCTTGCTTTTAAAAGGCTGGCTGCCCGTCTTCCTTTATGATTATTTCAGTTAGTTTCCATGTAAGTCAGGATGTTCAATAATTGAAATAAATAACAGTAAACTGTTAAAGGTTTATTGGCATAAAGCTTCCTAATCAAAACGTCTTTGTTTTTACTTCAGTCATAGCTAAAATAAAAAAAATTTGCATTTCATATTTAATTGGGTATGACCAGAATTCAACATTTTACATTAGAAACAGCAGGTGATTAAAATTGAACATTTAGTGAACATTCCAATTTCTTTATTATCAAGCAGAGGCAAAGACATCATGTAGTTGGTTGCGTCTTCTTTAATCTTTCTAAATTTGTTAAGGTATGTTGATTATAAAGTTTACCTATCATAGTGTCATTGTTTGTTCTTATGTCTAGAATTTTGTTATATTTGTCATAAAAAACCTGAATGTCATTTTCGTGGTGAAATTCGCCCTTCATATGTTTTATATTGATACATCTGTTAATTTTTGTGGGATTTTCCCAATAACACATTGGATGATTTGTCATTTCATAATACTGACCTTTCTTGCATTATCACCAAAAATTAATTTCATTAGTCTTTTCAAATGTCATTGGTACGGCAAGACTAAAAATCAACAAGATGAATCAAAATAATGACACGCCAGAGAATTTTAGTTTTGCATATTATTATGTGCAATAAATTTAACATGTTTCTGTGGTTTATGAGCATGACTCAACACCCCCCACTTGCTCATTAACTAAATGAACAAATTAGTATCTATTTACTAGTTATAAATGTTTTGAATCTACTTAATTTAATCTAACTTACAGCTTTCGTAAATATATCAGCCATATTTTCGTGTGTTGCTACATACATAATTTCTATTTTACCAGCCTTTATTTCACTTCTGATAAAGTTATATCTAATATCTATGTGCTTAGACCTTTTGTGGTACATAGGGTTCTTTGCTAAGTTAATTGCACCCTGATTGTCAACATTTAACAGAAAATACTCGCCTTCTTTACAAATACGCAAATCAACACACAACTGCTTCAAAAATTTCGCTTCCTGAATAGCTTCAGTCAATGCCATATACTCAGCCTCACAAGTTGACAAAGCAACTGTAGATTGCTTCTTACTCCTCCAAGAAACCAAACCACCGTTCTCACTCAACCTGAAACCGTAACCTGAAATACTACGCCTGTCATCCGCATCGCCAGTCCAATCAGTTTCAGAAAAACCAACCAATTTTAAAACACTTTCACATTTTCTAAATGTCATTTGAAACATGCTTTGCCTCTATTAGGTTTGCTTGTGTCGGTTTTGCCATCTTTTGAGACAGCTTTATTACAATAAAGCACAAATCAGGTCTAGTTCCTGTCATAACATGTATAAGACTACCGACAATTTGTCTGTAAAGACACGGATCTTCTGACTGACGCGATTGATCATGTGACATTTTATTTGTATCGGAAGATGATGGAGTGGGTTTGGGTTTACACTCCGACATGCCAAATTTTCTTAGTAACTTAATAATATATTGCCTTTGACTCAATGTTTTTTCATTTTCTGGGTATTTGAATTCAGTCCCTAAGAACCAGGACAATATTCCTAAATCTTTCATCTTAAAACGGTCGCTTTAGATTTTCTTGACACTCTACATTGATGTGTCATTGTAAGCAACAATGATAATATCATCTACCCATACTATTAGAATAGTAACATCTTTTCCTTCAAATCGCGTGTAAACGCTTGGGTCGACTAATGATTGTTTGAAAGTTTTCCCGATTAAGTGTTCATGCAATACGGTATTCCAGTTCCTACCACTTTGTTTAAATCCATACAAAGACTTTTTCAACCTGTACACTAATTTTTCACCATTTTTATCTACTTCCCCATATCCTTCGGGTTGATGCATATAAATTTTGCAGTCTATTGTCGCATTAAGATAAGCTGTTTTTACATCCATATGATGCAATGACATGTTGTTTTGAACAGCGTGTTGAAGCAATACACGGATAGAATTAATGCGTGCAGTTGGCGAAAATATTTCGTTGTAGTCAATACCGAGAGTCTGCGAGTATCCCTTTGGCTACATAACAGGCTTTATGGGTCTCTTCTTCATGTTACCTTACTTTTACGGTGTATACCCTTCCCCCACTATGTCTCTATTTGTTTGGTGTGGAACAAGTTTAAACATATCATTGTCAATTAACGCTTTCATTTCATCATTCATGGCTTTTTGCCATTCTACTTTCTCATTGGAGCTTATTGCTTGGGAATAGGTCGTTGGGATGTTGGATACTCTATAGCAATAATGTATGGTATATGAGACAGTATCCTTCCCTGAAACCTCTTCTGTCACATACTCGTGAAGATATTTAGGCTTACTTTTTATCCTAATGGGTTTCTTGATTCGCTACATGTCTCTGGAGTACTAATGTCTTCGTTAGTTGTTTTGGGGTTTCTTTTATGCAGTTTTGAAATCTGAGGTGCAAGTTCTTCATCATCTAGTTCTGGCAGTTCCCTGCTACCCTCCCTGAAGAACTTAACGCATCTTACACGCTCTACCTTGTTAATGTCACGGTAGTATAGTAGATATGCTGGACTATTTTTATCATACCGTGCGAAAATATCTTGTTTACTTCTAGAGTCTAATATTTTGGAATTTTGTGAATAACCACAACAAACACGACCAAAAATGTGCATTTTGCTCAAGTCTGGTTTTGAGCCTGTAAACGCTTCAAACGGAGGTTTGTTTAACCTCGAATTAAAACAACGATTCCTAATATAAGCAGATGCCATGACGGCATGTGTCCACACGGATTTTGGTATTTCCGCTTCTAGCAATAAACACCTAGCCATGTTAAATAGAGTTAACCACGATCTCTCAACTGTGCCGTTCTAGTGTGGCGAATATGGTGCACTAGTTTCATGTCTAATTTCATTTTCTCTAAGAATCAATTTGAATTTCTCGCTTGTAAATTCAGCGCCGTTATCACTTCTCATGCGCTTCACATTTCCGTAAGGTGCAACATCTGCTAAAAACTGTTTTAATGCTTATGGTGTATCGCTTTTATGCTTACGAAAATAGACCATATTCAATCCTGAACAATCATCCACAAACGACAATGCATAACTAAACCCTTCTCTTCCTTCCGGATCAATAGGACCTGCAAGATCTGTGTGAATAAACTCAAGAGGACCCCTCACTTTTTTATCTTCCAGTTTACTTTCCGTCTGACACAGTTTACCTTGCGTACAAACATCACACTCAAATTCCCACAAATCTGTGATTTTCATCCCCTTTACCACCTTCTCTATTTTCCTAACATCCTTGTAGTTGCAGTGACCTAGAACCCTGTGCCACTCGTAAAGAGAACATGCATTTTTATTTGAAGATGATATGCTATTTATATAGTAAAGTTTGCCTTTTCGCCTTATTCCAAACATTGTGCCATCAGGGCACTGTACATGCTTATCTAATTTGACTTTTGCCTTCTTTTCTACGGCAGCATTTACTGAGAATATATTTTGATCGTAAGATGGAACATATAAGGCATTACTTAACAAGACATCCTGCGCATTTCCATGCAAGTCAACTAATTTGACTTTAGCAGTACCTTTACCGACTACTACGTTGGCTTTACTGCCATCTGCTAATTGAATAACATGCGCTTTACTATCAAATTTACTATCAAAATCTATAAATTTTAACTTATCGTTAATAATGTGACTTGTAGCTCCTGTGTCCACCAGTAGAGTTAAATTCGCTTGATCCTTATCCTTCACGTCCGTTTCAGCGTTCTCTTCTCCATCCTTTGACACGAATAAAAAGAAGTGTTGCTGTTCACTGTCACAGCGCTACCCGTCTGTAGCGGACTTGGACGTTTCTTTCGTCTTTTGGCAATTTTTCGTGTCATGGGTCTTGGTCTTGCATAAGGAGCTCCATTTTTTCACCTACACTCGGCATTGTGAGCTTTTGTGTCCCTTTCTTCCACATTTGAAACAATTTCCGTCAAATTTTGGTTTCACATACATAACGTTGTAACCTACCTCAGTTTTTGGCGACAATGGTTTGATATTTTCTTCATGATTCGTAACAAGTTTTTAAATTCTGTAAATGTCATTTGTCTTTCCCTTTGAACTGTTACGGTAGCAAAGACGTCGTACGTGCTTGGCAGGCCCTTTAAAACCATTGCAATGAGTAGTGCATCACTTATTATCTCCTCGGCTTCTCTTAAGGCTGTTGCCGATCGTTCCGCTTGCAATATATAATCTGTGACAGTCTCGTCGTCACTTTTCTACAGCGAAGTGAGCTCCATGTAAAGAGTGATAACGCGAGGTTTTCCTCTGCCTTCATAGTGATGTCTGACGATTTCTAAAGCTCTCCGTGCATTGTCTTTCGCCTCCCGAATCACAAGAGACAAACTTCTGTCGTCCGAACATTGGACCAGCTCTGCAAAAGCGTCAGCCAGTTTTGAAGCTTCTGGTTCTTCTCTCTCACTTGCTGATTCGATAAATACGTCGTACAGTTTTTAAAGACGCATATAGCACAAGAATTCTACTTCCCTAGAATTCTACTATTACAAAGAACAGATATTATTTTGGTCGGAATAGTTCCTCTATTTAAGCTAGTTATGGTGCATAAGGAAATATGACTAACGTCAATAACTGTTCCTTGGCTGTTAGCCATGTGGGAACGGATACATTGGTAAAACAAACTACGCACATACTATTTTCTTAACATGTTTCTGTTGTTTATGAGCATGACTCAACAAAACGTGATACAAATTTTTTGAGCTTTTTTGTCATTTTTTTAGATTTTCGAAAACAGTTCAAGTGCTATGCATGTTTTAAGAATCTTTATATGCATGCAAAGAAACACAATAAGTGAATTGTACATTTTATGGCATTGACAGGAAATTTGCATGTCGATTACAGAATATTATAAAATGGGAATACCAGAATTTACCATAATATTTTACAGTGTGTAATTAATTTGTTTTTTAAATGTTCGCCTGGACACAGTCTCAATCTGCATTCTACAGAAGTTGAATGAATTTTTTGTTTTCTTTTCTATAAAACATGACTTACAAGACATATCCTATATTTTACATGATTTTTTATTGAAAAGGAAGAATACTTGAAAAATTTCTCATGGTGGTCTTTACAATTAATTCTAGAAGGCAATCTGATGTTTTATGGGAAATAGAACTTTTTTTAAATGCAAAGGCTAAATTACTGAACACTCTGCTTCATATATATTTCTATTGTACTGCTGACTAAGTAGTCATTGTATTCAAATAGACTGCCTGCACAAACTTTGTGTGTCAGTTAGACAAATTGTTATACACATTCCTAAGTAATAATATAATTCAGTAACACCATGGAAGCTGGAAGGAAGCACGTGCCCCTCTAACAATTGGCTGCGCCCCCCTACAAATTGGCTGTGCCCCCAAGTGCCCCCCATTTGAATTTTATACAAGAGTCTTTATATGAATCATTCGAAATTGAAAAAGAAGCACATGGCATCAATGTAGCTCTTACGGAATTCGTACAACTATATTGTAAAGGGAAGCATTCTTTTAGCTGTGCAGACTAGTTTGCGTTGTATTTATCCTTTCTGGGTTGTTAGTCGAGTGGTGAAGACTTAATTCCTTAAAAATGAAAAAAAAACAAAACGAATGATTCTGGAATAATTCAAGTCCGTAGTAGGCAAGGAAAAAAAAGTAATATTGTGATGCATGTCATGAACGACATTACACCATATCATAGAACTTGTATGAGATCGTGGACAAATATACTCGTAGACTTAAACTTGTAAACATAAAAATACATATATAGCAATGACTAAGAGTAAGGCTTATGAAAATACTGTAATTCTAGAAGTATTATATTACAATCAATTACAGTTGTTGTTATAGACACGGGATTTTCCATAAAAACAACGAAAGATTTAGATCTCACAGTTGATAAAGTGAAGAAGCATTATGTACCTCCCATTGATGATGTAAAGAACAATGATGATTTCTTTATCAAAAATTTTCTTAACGAACATAACGTTATTCGAGATGAGATTCTTGACAAATTAAACAGGTAAGTCTCGAGAAATCGTTTTTACACTTCCTCTAAATTTAATATTTCGTTAAGATAAGTGCGCACACTAAGCAGAAATTTACGTTTTATTGTTGATGACATCATCGGTTGTTATTGAAAACAAAAAATTTGCAAACTCGAAAAACTCACTACCACTTGATAGACAAGTAGGTTTATTTTGGTTTAATTTGCATTTCTCAAACTTCGGTTAGTGTTAAAACAAGGATTAACTTTAACACTACTCGCTAGGTACATTAAATTTCTTAACCCTAGATTAACATATTAATTTCGTAAGCAATTAACTATTGACGGGTTTTACTTTAACGTTTTAGACTAAATAGTAACGGTTTTTATTGAACTCATATTGTAAATTGACCTTTTTGGATTCGCTAGTCTACATATTGTATGTATATATAGTCTCTTAATCCTCGGCAAAAAGCTTGTATGGTCACGTGGATTTTGGATGATGTTTGATATGATAATATATTACATCAGTAGCTGTCCCTGTGATAACAGAAGATCTCGAGGAACCATGTTATTAATAATATTACGTATTTTAACTTAAAATTAAGAGTTGATCACTCTCTCCCCCTCCATTCGATATTCACTATTTACAATTCAATTACACATATATGATTGCTAACCCCCCAAACCCACCGAATATCTTCCCCTGTAAATATTTTGAAATTTTTGGCTTTGAACTCATAAATATGAATGAAAAAAGGTTGAAAAACTGAAAAACAGTCGAGGAAATGTTGTAAAGAACTCGCGATGGCCAGCGCTTGTCCCAAATTGCTTAAAATTTTGATAGTTTGTGCTAAACAGTCAATATTTGTACTCAAGGTGATTGAATTGTTCTCCGATAAATTTTTCGTGCACAAAGCCTGTGTTGAAGGACTTTTAACAACGGTATTTTCACTGGTAAAACATTTTGCATTTTTAATAATTATTAGCTGTACAAAAGACGTACCAAATTAAGCGGTAAAGATACTCTGTTTATTATACAGAGTCTCTATAAGCGACTTGTTGAATTAAGTTTACTGCTATAATATCAGTACCAAAATTGTCCAACGCTATAGTAACCTCTGAACGACACTACTTTGAGTTATTGTATCATGAATATGAAATTAATATTCTTTTAACATGGTAGATTATGTATTAAGATTAATTGTTTTCAATATTTTTTTGACTTTTAAAATAATGTTTTATAGTTTTTCTTGGATTTGTGGTGGATATGGTGTACGGTGGAAACCTCGTCTTTCTTTGTTTGTGACTGTAGCAGCAGAAAGACAAAATGACGAAGATGCATTAAGAAAAGAAATTGATGAAACTTTTGGATGGAAAGCTTCTCAATACTTTGAATTTGTACCGGAGCCACTAGAGAAATCGAAATTTCGTTGGTCACCAGACATAGAAGTCATAGAAAGGGAGAAAGATCCAAATCCCACGAGAGGGAATATTAAAGATGAAACAAAGGCAAAAGGTACTTTCGCAATGTTTTGTAACAAAGATAAGAAACAATACGCTTCGACACGTTAAAACGGTGACGATCTGGTAACAAATCTTATATTTTGTGAGAACTCAAAGAGATAAAGCAATAGATAAAGCGTCGTTGCGTCACAATGTATTTTGTGACTTCGTGGGCAAGATCATGCGACTCCATCTTTTGTTAAATTGTGTTTTACATAAAGCATGTGTTGATGTACGTTTGTTCAGATTGTCAATTGAGCAATCCGTACCATGGTTCGCCAGAACCAACAAATATGTTTACAAATTCAGTACTTTAATTATTTTAAGTTATATATTATGTTTTTTAAGGTCTTCCTGATCACAATGCCAGTTTTAAAGACGATTATAACGAAGAAAATTCCATTGATGTTAACCCTGGTTATAGTACGTCAAAGAAGTACTCTCGTCATAAATCCAATGATGATCGTTTATTTGAAGAAATGTTTCTTGATAAAAGATTTGCCATTCGAAAAGATGTGCGTATGAAGCTCAAAAGGTGAACTTTTCTCTACAGTTATTTAGGTCTAAAAAGACTACAGTTGATACATAAGGATGAATTCAATCATAGCCTCGATAAACAACTTGAAACTAAATCTTCTGTAGCAGTTTTTAATTTTTGTCCGGCAAAGTAGTTTATGGTTTATTACCGGTTTTCATAAATAAGTGACAAGGAAGTTGCCAATGCAAAGAAAAGACAGGCATCTGTTACCACTCAACGACTTAAATTGCGGAGCAGCATATATTCTACAGGCAATGAGAATAAAATGTGGAAACAAGGAGCACTGGCTTTAATATTGATGGGGGATATTTAGTCTAAACGTCCCTCATCGTATGTTTAAGGGGATAATACATCAGTAGCTGTCCCTGTGATAACTGAAGATCTCGACGCAGCCATGTTATCAATAATATTACGTATTTTACCGTAAAACTTAGCACAAATACGATCAACAAGAATTGATTACGTTCTCCCCCTCCCCCAATGTTCACTTTTACAATTCGATTACACATACATGATTGCTGTTTGCTAAACATTTCACTTTTTTATTTTACAGTTTACCTTGGATGCGGGGAGAGTATGGAAAAGTCGGTCCAAACGAGAAGATACCATATTTACATTTGTTTATCACAGTTGATTATGAGAATGGAGATTTTGATGAAGATGTATTGAAAAATGAAATAAATAAGAATTTTGAACATTATGCTTTGAGGTATTTTGAATTTCGTCCGAAACCATTAACGAGACCGAAGCTTCAACTGCTATCAAATATTGAAGTAGGAAGTAGCAATGGGAAAGTTTCAAGAGGCACATTAACAATGTTCTGTTGTCACAACGGGAAACATTACGCGTTGACATGTTGCCATGTTTGTTACAACGGAGATGGTGATAAAACATTATATGAAATGCTAAATCAGAACAGAAATGACCCAAATAATTTCAGATTACATTTAATTTCAAATCAATACCACTACACATCGCCTCCAAGTCCATTAGGGCATTTCAACAGCTATAATTTAGAAAAGAATACGGACATTTTGTCAATAGAAGTCCATGGATATGTTGTCAAAACAGTGGATTGTAGACGAAAAGGAATACAAAACCCAACTTGGAATAGTGTATGGGAGGAGCTGCACGAACGAGTTAACATCGCACGTGAGCTAGTTGAAGTGAAAAAATATGACAATAGGCGTTTGAAAGGAGAAATTGTTAATGATTCTTATTCCTGTCATGATCCTGAAAACAAGATTGATATTGATGATGCTGTTTTGGTGCAGTGCAATGAAACTTTCCTTGAAAGGGGTGAGTCAGGTGTGCTGGTATTTTTCCATGATGAAGATGGTAGAAGAATTCCTTTTTGTTATGGTGTTGGTGCGTATTATTACGAAAAGATCTGCGACCCTGAGTATGAGTACGCCTTATGCTTCAAACTAGATATTGCTTTGGAAAATTTATTTGGTGAAGAGAACTGTGGCTGTTTCCATGAATGTGCGAATGATGTTTGATTGTAGCTAAAACATCTTCTAATTTTTAATTATATTTCATTTAATTATATAGCTATCTATAGCATATTACATAGTAGACTGCAATTCATATTAAAAGCAGTAATAGATATCTCCTGAGTGATTGAAATCTAAAATAAATCATTGAGTACTTGTTCATACTGTTAAAGAATAAAAACAAAAAAGCAAATACTGTTTTTTGGATGAATTTGGGTGCCTTACGAGGCTATGCTGAAGCGATAGAGAGTAACAAAGCAATACAGAGTAACAGAGTTCCACTGCCGAATTTTCACTAGAAACTACACAATGCAAGTTTTTTAAAAAGATATATAAATATTTTAAACGCATCATTAAAAATGGGCTGGCTTCATTTTAGTTTCTTGTAACGTTTGTAATATTTTGAAAACAAACATAAAATGCTGTTGTATAGTTGTAAAGTAAGACACATTTCGTGAGCTTTCTTTTCCTATGCAACACTGGCAAAAAAACTTTAATTTTGCAAAAAAATAAGAAGAATTCCTTCCCTGTTTTTTATTAAACCGCAAACGTATATATTTCATTAAAATTTTTAATTTATGTGTCAGTAAAAAGCGCAGAATGCTATTAATGATTATTAATTACTGTATCTAGTACGATGTTTATCTTGCTATCACAACAGCATCACATTAACAGAGCACATTTTGTGTTGATGTTTCTTTTGTTTCAGTTATAGTATTGCGTGCAAAATTTTAACAAGACACACTTGTGTCAAAAGGACTTTGCTACCTATTTCTTCTTCTTGTTATATTAAGTTTATTTTAAACAATGTACACTTTGTACAGATACTTGGATTGGGGTTCTTTGATGGAAACAATTGTTTGATGCACGTACAGAAATTCTCCGTAGATGACGCATTCTCATCAAGTAGATTTTTAAAGTAGGAGTTTTCAGCAGATTTCAGTTGATGGTTGAAAGGAGAAGAAATGCGGTCAAAGAACTCCAATACAAGTACCTATACATCATTTCAAATAAAGGAAAAACGACAAGCCATAAACACCCAATTGTTAGTGAGTTTGCTGATATTTTTCCAACAATTGCATGTTTTTCAAAAGTAAAATACTTTAAGATAAAAGATTGCATCTGGAGTCAACCTATTCCAGATAAATTTGATTTTGGTTGTGAATTTACTTTCCATCACGTATCAGACTCCATAGTTTTTAAACACTTAATGAAAAATTGGAAATACAACAAAGGTACAGGTCTCGATGGAATACCATCACGACTACTTAAGGATGGCTCGATTTTTATTTCTAAACCTCTGATTCATATTATAAACCTATCATTAGTAAAACAGAGCCTTTGTCTTGGTGACGAAGAGTATCATACATATGAGTACTGTATAAATATTTGGTTACATCGCTATCCCAAAAATATGCCATCATCAAACTTCCACCAATTGACATCATATTTACATCACTTTGTATGTAGCTATATATAGAGCCCAATGACATACCAGATATTGCTCCAGCAATACTACCATAGGATATAATGTAGCCTGTTGTTTTAGCATTTACACCATAACGATAATCCAACATAGCAGTAAAATTACTGCGATATATTAACATGCCTAGAGCCATAATGATGCGGATCAGTAACAAGTCAAAAACGCTCACAATTGATGAAACAGCAACAACATTGACGATTCTGGAGAAAAATGATTTCTCTTTGTCATTCTGTTTGTCATTACCAAGTCACTTTCCATTTTAAACTTTTTACGTCTGTTAAGATTCATATTGACCTTCTCATAACCCTCCAACACTTCCACAACTGTTTTATCCATGTAGGAGTTTTCCAACTTTATTTTATTTTCCAACTTTACTTTATTTTATTTAAGACAAACCATACAAATATTATAGCGAACAAATACACGCTACAGCTCAAAAGTGAAACCTTGAAGTATCCATTGTCGTGCATAGCAACAGTAGCACAAATAATGGGCGAGATTATGAAACCAAAACTTCCAAATGCATTGAACCAACCAAATACACCTGATCTTTCTTCAGGTAATGTGATGTCTGATAAATAAGCTTTTGCTGATGAATGACTATGTTTTAAAAGGCCTATAAGATGTTAAAAATTGGTAGATAAGATGCTTTTTATAAGAACTACATAACAGCCGAATAGCATGTATCTAAAATAAAACTTTACCATATTATAAGTTAAAAACTATATACACTATGAACATACATGAGACAGCATGCCTTAAAAATAAGATGTGTTATGCATTATTGAATGACGTAAAAAAATTTTTTTGAGAATTGTTGGGTGATTTTAAACTTACTTTCATAAAGAAAAGTGACCATTTAGTTTACGCTTTTTGCCTGGAGTGATAGAGTTTAAAAGCGTATAAAACAAAAATTTTGCTATTGAAATTGCTTCATTAAAAAGAAGTATTAAAAAGAAAGTAATCAAACTAAAGATTTTTTACAATTTTCTCTTCTCATTCTCGAAATAATTTCATGTCCATTTATTGTACAATTTGCTTCTTTTAACTGGGTTCAGTGGGTGGAGTACTTTCTTTGATGTTTATATATGAACTAGTTTGGAAACAAGTTCAAAGATCTGTACATTATAAACTATCAAACCTGTAGGTAATCGAGCCAGAGCATACATGAGAATTGTGCTTGCCAAACCCATGTATAAATTTCCAATGAAACAACCAATAAAGCTAAGAAGCAAGACCGATTTCCGACTCCAAACATCACTTGCCTTGCCTTATATATGTTTGTAAATGTAGATCATCCAGGTTGGTATAACGATCGACGATCAAAAGATTGACTCTGAAGTTGACTACCGCTACGGTTCTCGAAACATCAGTCAACAACAACAAAAACAGTCCTTCTCAGGACTATACAAACCTGGACAATCTACATTTACAAACATGTATAGAATACATTGCCACAAAGATTGCACACAACAATCAAGCTCAGTGATGAGAAGGGAAGGATTAGCATTCAGATCAGGCATGCAGGTAGTTTAGTATGTGGCAGAGTATTCTATATTTACTACCAAATGTAATTTTATGTATATAAATATATAAATACCATTATTGGGCTTGACAAGAACTGTAAACAGCCATGAGCCATAAATGGATCCTGGAACGTAACCAAATGTAAAATTTTATAAGAAAATTGTTTAAATGATGAAAAAAAAGGGCATAAAATACAACAGAAGGCTGTTTCTAACCTACAAGACCAATCATCGAAGGAGACTCTCCAAGTTCACGACCACGACGGTTGAACAATGGTGGCAACATACCAACTGCGAACAAATCCTTTAAAAAAGAAAATATATAATACATTCTCACAAACGAGACTAGCTTTATCCCCCGTTTCGTTTCAATTGCCGAATAATTCTGAAACGCGACCACAATCAATTTACATATCGTAGAAAATGAAAAATTAGTAAATGAATGTCTTATAATAAACTACTTTGCTATAACTTATCATAAATGCAACGAAATAACAGCACTTGATCAACTTTTGACGAGAAAGCATCCCGACTTATTACCATTATCCACGGAAGAAAGAGAAAGACGTAGCGAAAGCCAGTTGTACTTGTAACACTATGACCGGATGTTCTAAAAAGTTTGCTTAACAAAAGAAATTTGTGAGAATTCTATATAAAAACAAACATCGAAATTTCTGGTACGACCTGGTATGTTATGATCTGAGGCACTAAGGTGCCTGGAGAAAACTGGAAACATTTATGCGTCTGCGATGCATTATGGTCAGTGTTGTGGATAAAGTTGCAATTATTCGTTTGATTTGTACTTTAAAATGATTTGTATTTCAAAATGTAGAAAGATAAGAAAATTATCTGAGATTGACAATATGTGCTTATAAGTGGCATTATGTAGAAACTGGAGAGTCAACAAAAAACGATGTACGTGTTGTATGAGTTTATGGATGGTGCTACAATTGATTGCTGAATCAGAAATCTTTTTTTGCACTTGTCTAAAGCAGGCATGTATTTAGGGGCGGATCCAGCAATTTTCGTGACTGATGCACCACTGCGAGCGCCAAAAGCGCTAGCTCTGTAGGGGGTCTGGGAGGATGCCCCCCGGAAATTTTTATATTTTAAACCATCGGAAATGTGATTTCCTGCGTTTTGACAAAAGAATTTAAAAAAAACTTGGCTTTACTTAGTTTGTAAATTTTTCGCAAATTTCAATGATATAAAATCTAAAATTCCACTAAACTTTTAACATTTTCATTACTATTATGAGATTTATCAAGTTTCATACTTTCGCCAAAACTTACAATCAGGAAGGTATCATTCCAATCCACGAGTGATTTTGAAAAGGCAGAAGCTTGGCATATTTTTTGTCGTGAAACGCAAAGAAACCTTTTATATCTCACAAATGAAGCACAAGTTTTTGACCATTAATCACACTTGATACCACTCGTCCCACAGCAGAAAAAGATACGTAGATATAGCAAAGAAATGTTCACGATGTAATCATCGTACCAAAGGCAGGCAACAAGTAATGATAAATGTTATTCTTCTTCTTTCATTGATAATATCACTCTTCCAACAGGAGAAAAACATACGTAGACATAGCAAAGAAATGTTCACGATGTAATCATCGTACCAAAGGCAGGTAACAAGTAATGATAAATGTTATTCTTCTTCTTTCATTGATAATATCACTCCTCAAACAGCAGAAAAAGATACGTAGATATAGCAAAGAAATGTTCATGCATTTACCATCACCTCTAGTTTTACACAAGCAATAAAAATTAGAAAGTCTATCGAATAAAATCACTATTGACTCTATGTTGATAAAGAAAAGCCTTTTAGGGGAACATTCATCAAGCCTTAAAGTGTAATTTTTTGGATTGCCTTTAATAATCCATAAATATTTTTTGGATAATTGAATCTAAGCATGATAATGCCAGTGCTATACTTTCCCAACCAAAGTCATGAGACCAGCTTTCAAGGGGAATATAAATACGTACCTAATAGCTAATACTATGTGCCCTCCTAGCTCTAATCAAATAGCAATGGTGAGGACTTTTATACATAAGGCTCAGGATACACATATGCGCATATGCAATAATAAAATATGGTGATGTAATATACAATGAAATATGTTAAAGAATTACAATATAGAACTGTTGCTCTAGTATCTTTATGTATAGTTCAATTTTGAGATAATAATAATCATGTAAAGACAATACAGTAACATCAAATCTATGTAAATGAAATGCTTTGCTGTGTACCCACCCTTTTGTGATCATAATGTTTTATGGTAAATTTAGAAATTTGGCACACTGTGCATGATTGTAAATGAGAGCAAACAGTTAAAAAAAACATCATCTTGTAAACTCAAGATTCCAGTTATAACAGCAACAGAGAAGATTCAAAGCAATATTTCAACTTCATATGAAAGTCATTATCAAGCTAGGTGTGGAAGAAATAATAAGGAATTGTTGTGGCTGAAATAATATGTAATTACAGTTTGCTTTGCTAAATTCCAGGGAATTGACAATATTAGACTTGCAATTTGAAAATGAAAAACTCTAATGAATAACATGTTTGGTCCAGCATAGCTCTTACATTCAACACATTGCATAGCTCAGAAAGTTAGTATTTATAAAGAAGCAAAATGTATGAAAAATGTGCCCTCTCTGTCTGTCACATTGAGCATATATTACAACATATTACTGGAATATTTAAATATCTATGAAATATCCTGAACTAATGTAATATTAAATTATTAGCTCTTATTTTTTTATGTATATTAAGTAACTTTGAAAGCACAATATCCATGTGAGCTAAAAAACAATGAAATTCGTGACGTTTAGATGGTTCACTCGGCCAAAGAGACTCGGTACTGTTGCACCAACTGGTGCACTTTTTCCGCACCGTGACGTAGTGATTCACTATCCAGCCACCGTAACGTAGTAATACAAATTCAGCTCAGTGTAGCTGGATGATGAAACAAATTTTCGCTAAAAATTTCGACACATAAAAACGCCATATTTAGCGACGCATTTTTAAATAATGCGGCAGTAATCAAAATGATACTCACATGTAAACAATCGACGAAGGCTTTTAACAATAATTCTCAATCATCAATGTACATTTGTTGTCAATATATCATCAGTGTTAAGGTATTTAAAGCATTTAGAAACTATAAACGTTCCAATCTGATATATATCTTGTATTTTGCTCGTATTCATTGTAAGTTATAATATTGTGAAATATTAACTATTCAATTTTATGACTGATGCACTCGCATCAGTTGCACCAGCCTGGATCCGCCCCTGATGGATAGGATGGGTTCTGTTGGGCGCCTTGAGTCAGGCTTACATGACGAATTTGCCTTGTTATCTAGGCAACAAAATGAAGATGAAATTTCCCGTTAATTTTCAAAGGACACAAACTTACACGAAAATATGTTTACTCCACGTGATTTTGTTATGAGAGATGCTAATGGACTTGAGGATAATAAAACAGATTATTCATCTACGGAATCAGCGGAAAGATCTAAACTTTTCATAACTCTTTAGGATAAACTGAAGAACCCCACAAATTGTTGTAGACGAATCCAATGTTTATGCACAACAGAGAAACATGCGATAGGACTTGTTTTCTCATGACATACTTTGTCGTAGTTTGTTGTGTTTCATTGTTGTGCAGTATGAATACATAAATCATGATTATCAATAAATTGGTTTTTATGGATGATACGATTGTCGAATTCTTTTAAAAACCAGATTTGAAACACTTCCAGCCAACTAAAACAGCATTTTACTGACTAACTGCCACAAAGGAACTTACTCAAATCACAACAAATTATGTCATTTGAAAACCAGTGCAGAAATAGCACATTAATGTAAGTTCCAGATCCTTATCATTTTGTCCTTTTCTCAATCTGTTTCATTAGTTTTCATTATTTGTAAGGACTGGAGACTTTGGCTAAGGATGAAGCAATTGTTTTTATGCTTGCCTGTATCATGTGTGAATCGATGGTGAACTGTTAAAAAAAATGATAAATATTACGAGGGATATAATTCCACGTTGAATAATTTTAGCTGTAAGTCAAATTGTAACAGTTTAATCACAAAATGTTTATATATGAGTGTTAATTTATTAAACTGTCTTTCAATGCAAACAGTCGTCACTTTATTTTTCCGACACGCAGTTGCCTTCTTTCATTTAAGCTGCGTTTGCGCTATTCCGGATTTGCTCATCACAACATCTTCATTTGCTTTAAAGGGTAACTGGTTGGATTAAATTCTTATTAAGTTGATAGATTCAATTTATTTAATTGTGTCTCTGATATTGGACCTTATCACCGACTTTTAACACATAGAAAATTAAACCTTCCTTGGTAGCAATCCAGTGCAATGTAAACGAGGTCTTAGTTTAAGTAAATTATTGGCTAAATCGGTTGAGAACATGTAAACCGCTTTAACCAAAGACATTTTTTTAAACCACCAGTGAAAAATTCGACAAGACCACGACAGTGTTATTGGCGCAATCTGCATATTTAGAATTTGTAAATCAAATATTCCTGGTGCGTATGTTGCGTCAAGACTGCCATGTTTGGATCAATGCAAATGAATATTTTATGCTATTGTTGCCAGCAGCCTACGTTTGCGAGCCACATTATTTGATAATTCCCTGGAGGTTGGTTGGAATCCAAGAATATGTACTTAAATTTGCACATAGTATGTTGAGTCTTACCACATGATAAAAATTAAACGGAAGGGCCACTCTTTAGAAGTGTACACCGCGTTCTCAGGTCCGCCATCATTCCAGAAAGATACTTAGGGTTTTTCACTTGTTTCCAACCACTGCAATTACACGACGTCATTTCTTCACAATGAAATCGAAAGTATTTCAATATAACAAATGACGTCGTGCCATTTCAGTGTTTGGGAACAAGTGAAAAGCCCTAAATATCTGTATGTACCAGTACCAACTATCGATTATTAGCTCACTCAGTCACAAATTTTCAGATAAATAGTCTGCGCATGCGCAGTCAACTTGACCAGCTGCCCAAGTTGATGGTCATGGCAACGACTAACTGCATCCACACTCCATCAACTAGCACCGATTTTGACGTAAATAGCATGCTTAGTAACAAATTAATAAAGAAATCATCCGCAGTGCTTTAGCGCATGCGCAGTCCACTTCACTAACTGTTTATAGTCATGGCAACGACTAACCATATGTACTTGCACTAAAGTTGTAGCATTTAGCTCACTTAGTCGCAAATTATTAAAGAAATTACCTGGGCATGCGCAGTAGTGACTTCAATAATACCACAACTATCGTAAGGCTTTGAATTTATGTATATAAATATAAAGCTAAATATATGTTTGATATATGTCAACTAGCAGTGGAAGCTGGGTGCGATATGTATGCAGTGGCTTAGGGGTCCAGACGTTTCGGGTCGCGACCGCACTCTCCCTGCGTACCCTGAGCAAAGCCTATCGCTGGTGATCTCGGGGTCTGATGGGCGGAAGCTTGCTATTGACATCCCCAAGTAGGATAGC